ATCGTGACAGGCCTACAGACATTCTTGACAGTAGATCTAACGCTGCATTCAGGAAATGTTGGAAGCTTTTTCCTGATCTCTCAGCCCCGGAGATATTTCACAGCAGTTATCCGCCATCTTACCAACCATGTTCCTTCTAACATTTTACCGTCCTCAGTGTACAGGGTTATATAATCTTACATTTATCACATCTGTCACTTTTGGCTCTGATAAATTGTGAGTATTTTTTTTTTTGTCATTTTGTACAGTTTTTGGACTTTTTATAGACAAATAAAAATAATAATTAGTTGCTTTTTACTATGGCTAAATGTCATTGGTGTAATGACTGAACGTTTCCCCCGGCTTTCTTTCAGAACAGGAGGTTGAAGTAATCACCCAGCAGCTGCTAAGAGCTCACTTCCAGCTTTCAGTGCATTGTAGCATTAGAGGTAATTGCCCAAAATCTGAGGCTCATAGCATTTAAATGTCAGGCTGTCTCAAGTCCAGCTGAAATCACGTTTAATCATTGCAGTCCCCTTTGCAGTCTGAAATACTGTTGAAAGGACAGGACGTGTTCATTTATGTGAGTAAGATAAAAGGAGACTTCAGGAGGAAACCTACTGTGGGCTGTTGTGTTGTGTACACTGCTTTATAAAAGGTTTGATTGGCTGTATGACAGTGAGGTCTATGGTTGGGATTTCATGGGAATATGTCATGTTACCTGGTTAAAATAATTGTGATTCACGATATTATGGCAATAATCATCAAAATATACTTAGAATTTTTCAAATGCCACGAAAGCATACCATAACATACCTTTTGTTAAGAAACATTATTGCATCGCAGACAGGACACCTAATGTCACTGTCCCTGTTCCTGTGTTCAGCCTTTTTCTGACTGTATCATTATATGTTTTATCCCATTGCCCATAACATAAATTCAAAAGAACAGAAGTTCTGATATGTTTTTTTTCTTCCTGATACCTAAACTTTGAACTTATCAGCTGATACAAGTGTCTTAAAACTATATATAGTTTTCTTTTTTTAACATGCCTCTGACCCTGTAGGATTTCTGCCATTGTTGAAGGTTAAAGAGAGAGATAATTTGGACTACTTCACAGGAGAACAGGACAAGGGATTTCCAGAGCAGATATGTGTGCGGTAGCAGATTTAAAAATGAAGTTTAATTTCAGTTGGACTTTCACTATATTTCGCATAGTAAAACCAGGTTACCTTGTGATTATTTGTGTGCAATACACATGATAAGGAAATAACCTTAAACCAACCTCCTGTGTAATATTAAATCCTCCATATATCCACCTCATTAATCCCCACTCTTCATCTCTGTGAAGATTAGCTTTGCAGGGAGCACAGTAAGTATGCGTGTTATTTATTTGAAGTGACCAGCTGTTGTTGTCAGTGGTAATATGTACTGTAAGAGTGTGTGTGTGTTGTTGCGAGGACATGGAGATTAGGTCAAACAGTCGCCCTGTTTGTTGACATCTGACAAGTCGAGGTGTTTAATTCAATCTTGTCAAAGTTGTGATTGAGATTACGACTGAGGAGAAGGAGAGATCCTGTAGGGATGAATGTAAATCGCCTCTACAGGAGGGAAAATCCTCCTCCTCTCCACAGCTGTGGGATTTCCTGTTGAGGCTCCTCAGGGACTTATGGGCTATTTGTGTTTGTCGATTATATGATGTTGTTTTGTTCTCAGTCACTGTGTTTTGAATACAGACCTGTATGTTAGTTTGTGATCATATGATTTTCTTTTGATGGCTAAAGTTGGTTTCTCACACACTCACACTCACGCTTCCAACGAGGACACAACGACAACACAACACAGCACACACACGGTCCAGTGTGTAATGGTGTTGCCTGTTTTTGGCAGGAACAGGCCTGAAGGGAAGATTTTGGAGACTGTGGGAGTGTTTGAGGCTGTGAAGCAGCACGGCAAATATGAAACAGGACAGGTAAGACTCGCACACACGTAAAATCCCAGATGGGCTACACTAGCTCCTAGGGGCTTTCGCCCTCATTACAAATTCATGTAGCACATATAGTATAATATTACTGTCCTGTGTTTGCACTGTGTGGACTGTTTTGAAGTTTTGTTAAATCAGTAGCTTTGTATTAAGAAAGTACATTTGCATGATCTTGTCAAGTGACTGTAATCTCATCTAATTTATGCTTTATTAAACCTCCTCCAGATATAATCTCACAGCAACTCATCCCATCTCTCCTTGTTGTTGTGCTCTCCTCAGCTGTTTCTCCACAGTGTGTTTGGCTACAGAGGCATTGTCTTGTTTCCCTGGCATGCCCGACTTTATGACAGAGACATCACCCCTCCCATGTCTGACAGGTAAACCTCCATCTCAGGCTGCAGCCTGCACCCACACGCGTCCTCGATGGCTTGGTTTATGGGTGAGACTTGTATAACTGAGATTCTTTTTGTCTCTCTGACTTTCTTCCTTCAGCAAACCTGAGCCCCCAGGAGCCCACGGCTCCAAGGAGGTGAAGGGGAAGACCCACACCTACTACCAAGTCCTGATTGACACCAGGGACTGTCCTCACATAGTAAGTCACTATATGCTTTTCCTTTAGGAGCACCAACTATTACCTTACATCTCACATGGACATTTGAGGGAGTTCAGAACAACCTAAAAGACGAACTATAAGATTTGAAGCTTTCTCCTCCAGACAGAGGCCGAGGACAAGTCTTAAATTAGCCTCTGTCTGGAGGAGGAAGTGTTCAAGTTAGACAGCCGTCTCATACACTAATTGTAACAATTGTATTCCTAGTTACTACACTTGCACTCAAACAGAACTGAAATTTGGTAAGAATATGTAACACAGGGTTTCCGCAGGTTTAAACAGGTTAAAGAATATACTTTTAAAGACACTTTTAAGACCATTATGAATGAAAAAAAATACAAATGATATGAAGCATGATTAATACAATTTATTCCCCAAAACATCTAAAAGTCAGACCGAAAACTGCTACTTATACAATAAACTTAACGTCATTAATCCAATCAAAATTTAATACCTGTCAAAATCATATTCAAGACATTTTAAGGC